GTATATGCTTTTGATCACTACCTTGATCGCTGTGGTTCATGACCAGCACGGAGCAGACAGTGAGCAGTACAACATCATATTTTGTATTCCAGTGTGGGTTTGGGGTTTAGGGTTTAGGGGCCATGCGTTCGAACGTAAATGTTGAATGACACGCAATGACTCGAGCTTTGCGATTGTACATGTGCTTGGCATGCACGGTGCCGTGGGCCATCGGCAGTCAGGGCTACAGCGTCCAGTGGCGATTGTTGCTTGGAGCTCGCGTGGTGCCGAATCTTACCGCCACTGACCCCCAAGCCCCAGACTCCAAACCCAGAAGTCTACACCATAAACCCTGAACCCTAAACCCTAAACCCCTAACCCCCAAACCCCTAAACCCCTAAACCCCTAAAACCCCAGCAACAAAGGAGTGCTTGCGAAGGTGAGGTGTCCAAGAATCCCCGGCCCTCTTCTCGAGTGTAAGGTCGCCAGGCACAGCTGGTTCTTAGTAAGGGGTTTAGGGGTTTAGAGGTTTAGGGGTTTAGGGGTTAGGGTTTAGGGTTTAGGGCTATGGGTTATTGGGACTACCATAGGGGACCGTAGGGGACTATCATCGGGATTCATTCCCCCATTCCCACGAAGAACCAGTCAGACAAAGCCCCTTTGAGGCTTCCAGGGGGTCAAAGGCTACTTTGGGTGGTTCTCTAAGTTAGGGTCCCTTAAAAGGGCTCCGTAAAGGGGATCTAGAAGGGTTGCTATAGGGCTTCTATACGGCCACTATATAGGCAGTTCTCTTAGTTAGGGCCCCGTTTTTAGGTCCCCCAGATAGTACGGCGCCATGAAGAAGAAGGACCCGAGCAGGGACCCTAATTCAGAGACCTACCCTAAGATAGAAGCCGGAAACATGAGTAATACTATACCACAGGATTCCTAATTATACGTGTGCCTTAAACTCATCCGAAATCCTATTCTAGCTGTTGAGGCCCGTATATATTCAGGGCCAGGGCATCTGTGCCGTGCAGGTCAACACAACCACCTCCACAATGACAACCACCTCCTTCACGAGGCCAGGAACCGCCATGTGTTTGCAGGTCTTTGATCGTTCTCGATCACGAATGCTACGCAACCAATTGCTTGATACGGACCGGGAGTTCGTTGAGCAGGTCCTGCATGTGTGTGTGTGTGAAGGTGCGAAGGTGTGCAGGTATGTACCCTAAATCCTACTTAAACCCCTAAATCCTAAGATTAAACCCTTATAAGCCGATTATAAGCCCTAACTCAGCCCTTCAACCCTAAACCATGCTAATTCGAGGGAAGTCGTCCTTCAGCGAATGGGATTACGGATTCGTTTAAGAGCTCTTCAAAGGTTCCGCTAAGGGTTACGTCACGGGTTCTATAAGGGCTTCAAGGGCTTCGGTCAATAATGCATAGGATTTTCAGGCAGGTCATACTGCATTCACAGAAAGGAACCATAAAGAATAATGCAGGTAATGTTTCATTGAACCCAACTGAATAACATACTAAACCCTAAACCCCTGAAGCCTGAAATAGGTACTTATGAATTAGAACTTAAGCCCCTGCAGCTCCAGCTTACAGGCTCTCGGGTAGCGGTCGAGTTCACCTTGCACGTTAGCTTGGATACTGCCCCCAGTCAGTAACAGTTGAGTAATATTTTTATGGATATATAAAAAGCTTAATTGTAACTAGCCCTCTTATAGACTGTTACTGTATGAGGGCAGTACTCAACACGTAGCCTTCTGGCAGGTCAACTTCGACTACAGCCACGTTCACGGCCAGTCGGAGGGTGTAGGGGTTTGGGGGTTGCAGGTTTCAGGGTTTAGGGGTTACCTGTGGCCCGAAAGACCTACATTCCTAAGGAACTATATTATATATAGAAACCATAATAACAAGGAACACAAAAGGTAGGTCTTTCGGCTACAGGTAGGGTTTGGGGTTGTAGGTTTCAGGGTTTAGGGATTTCGGGGTTTCCGAGCTTGATGCGGGCGGGTGTCTCAGAACTAGTGGTTTATGTTTAGTGGAGTCCTTATAACTTATAACAAGGAGCCAAGTACTTCGAGTCCACGTTGGGGTCCCTTACTCCCTGAATGAAACTCCTATGTGCGCTGTCCGGTATTTTCTAGTTGTTGTCCGAAGGGAAGGAGACCCTCGAACCCCTCAACCCTAAACCCTAAACCCTAAACCCCTAACCCTAAACCCCTAAGGCCCTCAACCCCAAACCCCCTAGACCTTAAACCCTCAACCCCAAACCCCCTAGACCCTAAACCCTCAACCCCTAAACCCTAACCCTCAACCCCTAAACCTAAACCCTAAACAGTAAAGGCGAGTGTCTTGATCCTTGCTGGATACACTTCTACATGTTTGTTATAGTAAAACCCACCCTAAACCCTAAACCCTAAGAATGATCATGTTTGTTATAGTAAAACCCTAATAAGGATAACAAATGATCATGTTTAATATGAGCCCCTAAACCCTAAACCCTAAACCTTCGACGGGCGGGTGTGATGTCGGAGCTGCAAGGAAACCGAGAAGCGGTCCGGTGCAGGCTTTACCCCATAAGCTCAAAAAGAGGCTCTCTGGGTTCCAAGCTTCTTAGGGTTTAGGGTTTAGGGGTTTGGGTTTAGGGTTAGGGCTTAGGGTTATGGTTTAGGGTTTTGGGTTTAGGGTTTAGGGTTTAGGGTTTTGGTTTAGGGTTTAGGGTTTAGGGGACCCATAGGCTCCATGGTAGTTCCTTTTGTGGTTCTTATATTCAGGATACTGTAAGGTAATCCGAGAAAGGAGCTACGATGGAGCCCTTGGGAAAATTGGTGGAGATGGAGGGGTACTACACAGGTCGATAGTCTTAAGAACGTACAAGGTAAACCTTTAATGAGGTGTCTCCTTGTCTGTGGAGCACGAGTAAAGGAACCAAATAGTTCCTTTAATAGGCCTCTGTTTATGGTTTCGGGCTTTGAATCAGAACCCTGCGTTGCCCTGTTGCTCCCTATATGGGACTTTACGAAAATAGGGCGTACCTTATCTTGGGGGGTTCTTACAATAAGGATCCTACTATTTAGGGTGCTACATGAGGGTCCCCTCTTTTCGGAAACCCCCATAAAGCCTATATACCCATAGGCCCCTAAGTAGTTCCTTTTTATGGTTTATATTTAGAATCCTATAAGGTAAACTCAAAAAGGAACTACCTAGGGGCCTTTGGGTAGCCCTTAGGCTTGAACGCTTCGTCCGGGCAGCCAGGCCACGACAAGCACAACCAGCAGCGCCACAGCCACGAGCTCAACCAAAACGACCTCCACGCAGACACGGAGTCTTGGAGATGCGATTTGCAGTTGTGGGCTGCGGGTTTTCTGAGCCAGATCACGGTCATGGTTATGTCCAACTCTTCTGGCGAAGGGTTTCGAAGTTTAGGGCCATGGGCCCGTAATTTTTGCAACCTAAACCCTGAACACAGGCAGGAAGCTGCTGGCTTTCTGTACATGTAGATCCCTGGCCTCATGCAGCTCCAAGGTTTCGGCATTCTGCGGTTATCGATACACGCCCCCCCCCCCCCCCCCCCC